GTTAAGTCCTTCAATTGGCCACCGCGCCTCTGAAATTGTAGCCTATTGCTAAAGAATCGGTTTGATTTCTCCTTGTGCAGAATTGTCGTTGTTTGGTTAAGCGCAGAGGGTTTGATTTCTTTCCTTCCTCAACCTTCAAAGGTTGTTTTCTTAAATTACTCTGATTTGTAAGCTTCTTCCTAATATAATTCTGTTTAAGAATCTGACTCCCCTTATTTCATGTCAGATTACTTAAATCGAGTATGTAAAGGTGTATTTTTGTTTGCAACGTATTTTCTGGTAGGTATTTAATTTTAGCTTTTTAAATAACTGATCAGTAGTCATTATTCTCTCTGACTTGAGTAACGTGTTGTTTTGTCTTTAGCCCTGTGGAGGAGGACAGAGATACAAAGCTAATCTCAAAAGACGAGAAGGGTATGTATCCTTAAAAAGCGAACCTTGGCATTTATGTCAGTGAAGCTCCTTTTTGTTGGGGCCTTTTGTTGTGAAAGCTTTGAAGTCTCTGCCGTTCTTAAATTTCATTATTTTCTTGTTTTCCTGGATTTTTAAAGATGCAGTTATGCCAAAATGTTCTTCTCTTTGATACATTTCGCAAGGCTTTGCGTTGTGCCCATTCTGTTTGTGTCTTGATCTCCAAAGGTAGGCGCTGATCTGTGACAAATATGTCCTTCATGGCTCTGATACCAGCAGCTGTTAGTGAGTCCAAAGCCTTTTGTGATTGCTTTCCTTGTGGTTCTTTACACCATCTCCTGTTACGTGGAAATGACACACAGTCTTGTATTCACGTACTGAAGCATCACAAATGCTCCAAGTTTCATGTCTTCCAGTTGGATCGATGGCTCTTACATCTTCATCTGCTCCGATCCTGTTTCCAGTGCCAATATGCATGATCAGCAGGACGGGCATTTCTAGATGAGCAGTGCCACGGGAGGCCTTGCCTGCTCCTTCTTCTCATTGTGCTTCTTCCTTTTAATGCACGTTCTGCTGAGCCTTTACTTCTCTTTCCTCTTTTCTGTTTGTATGGGAACTGCTGAGTCACGGCCTGAACCTCTGATTAATCACCTGAGGTGAGCCTTGAGTCAGCCAGAGGAGCACAGGTGAAGGCAATTCACCTGTGCTGCTGGAAGGGGTGGAGCCAGGCTGCACCCCTCCTGGACCTATTTAAGAGCTGGCTACCAGAGGGGAAGGATCTCTTCTGGAGATCCTCCTCTTTTGGTATCTTCTAGTGAGCTCAACCCAAGGGTAAGCTCTTCTACTTATTCTCTTTTGCGATCCTTGTTTGCTTTTGCCTTACTCTTTTGATTATATTGCAATTATAACATCTTGGTTATACACTGTTCTCTTACCACTCCAAGGCAGAAAGCTTAGAACTGCCTTGCGTGCAGCAGAGAGTTCAAAGCAGTGAGTGCTGAAGTCCCAGCAGTTCTGTAATTGGCAAGAAGTTCGTTAGGAGATCTGTCTGCTGATTGGAAAGGAAGGATTTGCACGGCTTTAGGTTTTGCAGCACAGACTGAACTCGTCATCAACTGCTTCCACCCAGATTCTGAGTTATGCCTGTCTGTGCCAGCGACCAGACCTCGCCATTAGCTCCATCCACATCTGTTCACCTTTCATCCGTATTTTTACTCTTATTTCAGGACATTTAAAGGACCGTTTAACAGGTTCTATTATTTACACAGAGTCTGCAGCACGTTTTGGGCTGTGTCATCTTTCTTTTAAGAGATTGTTACAAATCCCTGCCTACTTTCACAGGAACTTGTACAAATGTGACAGAATTCCCTGCAGAGCTCGTGTTTGCAGCAGGAAGGTGGCAGCTCTCACATGAAGAAGTAAGAGAGAGAAAGATACCTGAGTAAGGAGAGCATTTCAGATTGCCTTTGAAAGATGCATCTCCCCATTGATGACAGTTCTGAGAAATTCCTTCCATCACCAAAAAGGTGTTTTAGAAGCAGATGGATGTAGGGAGACCTGCTGCACTCCAGTCTCAGAAGCCTGTGGGACTGAATGCTGTGAAGAGCAATACAGAGCTCCTAAAGAGATTTCAGAGGAGGCTGGGATAGTGTCCTGGTGTGAGCTCCATGCAAACAGGCAACCATCAGAACTTGCATAAATCAGACTGTTTTAAAAAGGGATAAAGGTTATTCCCTGTTTGTTTGGTTTTCTCTAGCACAGTTACCAGTAACAGAAGTTCAACCAGGAATCAGTGAGATTACAGAGGAGCTGGCCAGGCTTGCTGGTTGCTCCTTAGAGAGATGAGCACAACACAATCACTCAGCAATAACAGATGTTTGCAGGGAGACATCATCTCTCCCTGTCAGAGATAACATCTGTGAGCATTTAGCTTGAACCTTTCTCAATCTCTGGACCACGAGTTCTCAGACTTGACAATGATGCAACCACTTAGCAAACCAGTTCAGATGTCAAACTGGTGGGTGTTCTGTAGTTCCTGCATAGCTGAATGCTGACCCTTTTCTGACTGCAGTAACTGAGGTCGTAGCTCAACTGTTCACACCCTGAACATGAGCGACATGCAGGCAGGCACTTAGGAAGATATGTTCTTGTTTTTATGGTGAATGTTTTTCCTTGAGGTGCAGTTAATCTGCATCCAGTTCTGATTCCTTAGGAATCAAGGAGACAAGGGCAAGACTTGAGTACCTGTGGGTGCTGACTCGGTTCCCACAGCCCTCGCAGGTCTTCAGTCTTTTCCTGTAAGTTCCGACTTGCTGGGGTGGATCCAGACACGTTCTGCAGGGCCACAGTTACTTCATCTCTGCAGTTTCTGCCTTGAGGAACGATGGAGGGAACAGCATCCCTCTGTTGCACGTGCCAGAGCTTGTTGCTCCATCTTAGGAGAGTTTGGACTCCTCGTTGCCTTCAGGAATACGAGTTGTTGGGAGGTGACGTTTATGCTTTGCTTTGTGGTTTGAAAAATGGGATTTGTGGAACTGTTCTTTTTAAATATGGGAATAGTAGAACTAATCAGGATTCGGGCTGTGGTTTTGTTTGTGTTCCTAATTAGGTCGCGCTGCTGGCGGTTCTGGGAGAAACTTCTGGGTGAGTGGACTTGCTTCCACCACCAGAGCTACAGACTTAAAGAATCTGTTTAGCAAATATGGGAAGGTAAGGCTGGTTTGTTTGTTTATATTCCCCTCAGCATAAACTGTCTGTAAGACTTGGTGTGCTTCTGTTGCTGAAAATGTCGGTGGGATTGCAGAGGGAAGAAAAACCTGCGTGAGTTCATGGCAAATGGCTGCAGTTTTATTTTATCTCTTCCAAACAAAAACAAAATTCCTTTTTCAGTCCTTATATAAACAGACAGCGACTGCTTACATACCCCTCTGTGTCCTGTGGTGGTGCCTTTACTCATTGGAACCCGCAGTAAGCAGTGAATGCTGCTTATTAAATGTGTTCCTGGGACAAAGTAGGATAATGCAGTATTTGATAATGTTGTTTATGGGGTGTACGTGAGGAATTGCCTCAGTACCTGAAGGTTTTCCTTTGTCTGAAGTGGATAACTGCTTTAAAATGCGCTCACTTGGGCACTGTTATTTTCTACTGCATTTGTTATGAATTCACCCCATCTCAGCTGCAAAATAGGAAGAACTGGTTGCACAGAACACTGCTGTCAGAGCTGATGACATTTCTTGCACGGAGCTGATTCCTAAGGATTTCTCTCAGGCCTCTGAAGCCCATTTAAAGATGTCTTTCTCAGCAGGTTGTAGTTAGAGAAGTCTCTGCTGGTAATGCCTTACTGAATGTTTAACTGAGAAAACATTGCAGAGTGTGAGCTGTGACCTGCCAGTAAGCACTGCAATGGGTTCAGTGTCACAGCATCGGGTTTGACGGTCAGAAGAGTAACAGAAGCTTCTTTCCCCATGTCAGTTAAAAAAACCAATGCTGCCTTTCCATTTATTTGTTCAGAATTCCAGCTGGTGAGCTGGAATGCATTGATCATAGAGATACACAACGGGTTCAACATGTAAGGAAAAAATAAGCTCATCTCACGTTTGCAGCTGCTTAGCTGCCACAACGCCGCGTGGTCATGTAAATCAAATTACTCTCATTTGCTACAAAGCACTGGTGGAGGTTGAAGCTCCCAAGCAGTCGGTGCCCATCTGCTAAATGAATCAAGAGCTCAGAAGTACGTTCCGTGCTCAGCTCCGCTTTAATGCGATGCCTCTGTGCACACACTGGTGACAGCAGGTGCCATTTATAAAGCAAGTGTTCTAAGCAGGCTTTTTCAAGTTGTTTGTGGGGGAAACTCCTCTTTCCTAAGCAGAGCTACGGATGTCACTCTGTCATCTCTGTGCTGACATGACGACATCATTATGAGCGGCAGCAGCGTGCCCTGGCCTGCAGCAGGGATGCTCTGAGTGCTCCTTGCTGGTAGGGCTGTGCCCTCATTGCTGTGAGCGTAACGCGTGTTTTCTTTGGGAAAGGTGGTCGGTGCAAAGGTGGTCACCAATGCCCGCAGCCCCGGCGCGCGCTGCTACGGCTTCGTCACCATGTCTACAGCTGAGGAAGCCACAAAGTGCATTACTCACCTGCACAAAACGGAGCTGCACGGGAAGATCATTTCTGTGGAAAAAGTGAGTATTGAGCCTCTAAGATTTGTCGCCGCCATCGAGTTGTGCGCGTAATTGAAACCACGATCTCAGCTGATGTGCAAAATAAATTTCAGGCAAAAAATGAACCTGCTGGGAAGAAACCGACTGAAAAAAAGGAGAATGAGTCGAAGAAAGAAACAGCCAGCGAGAGGTACTGCCTTCAGCATCCCCTGCCCTGAGGTTCTGTGTGTTGATTTGTCAGGAGAAACTGTTAAACAGAACTTTAATGACAAACATCCAGAAAGTGAAAGTGTGTGTTTGTAACTACCTCATCTCAGCCAATCAAAACTCTGTTAGTTTCTCTCTTCCTGAATATCAATCTGATCTATATCAACATCTGCCTGTAGGCCTAGCAGTAGTAAAAGGGATGAGAAATGTGACCAGAAAGACGACTCCAAAAAGACTGAAGACAGAGATGAAAAAGAAAGGAAAGAGAAGGATGAACAGAAGTCTTCTTCATCGGATCAGCCTAAATCTTCCAAGTCAGGTAACATGGCTGTTCTTCATTTCACAGTCAATCTCTCATAGGATCATAGAATCCTACAATGGCCTGGGTTGCAAAGCAACACAATGCTCATCAGTTCCAACCCCTGCTGTGTGCAGGTCACCAACCAGCAGCCCAGGCTGCCCAGAGCCACATCCAGCCTGGCCTTGAATGCCTGCAGGGCTGGGGCATCCACAGCCTCCTTGGGCAACCTGTGCCAGAGCCTCACCACCCTCTGTGTGAAAAACTTCCTCCTCATATCCAACCTAAACCTCCCTTGTCTCAGTTTAAAGCCGTTCCCCTTGTCCTGTCACTATCCAAGAGTGGATGGTCTTGGGAGAGCACTGACATTGTGTCAGCCTTAATGCTGACTCTTGGGATAGTGAAGAAACGCATTTTGAGCAGGGGTTTAAGGACCTGTTTTAAATTGTAGAGGAGGTGACTGTGCACAGTGATGAGCTGCACGTGTTGTGTAGTGCTGTTATTTCTTACACCTCTTTCTGCTCAACCTCTGATTTGTACAGGGAGTAAAGGAACAGAGAGAACGGTGGTAATGGATAAATCCAAAGGAGAGCCTGTTATCAGTGTGAAAACATCAACTACATCAAAAGACAGAGTGAGTCTGCTTGGGATGCATGGTACATGGGTTTTCCTTAGAAACAGAGCAGGAATCCCACTGAGTTGCACGTGCCCTACGCTTGTCCTGCTGATCAGTCTAATTAGGGTTTCTATAATGCAGATTTAGCTCTTAATTAGTCAAATATTTTTCATATGGCTGATAACATATTCAGCAGTGAAATCTTGCCAAACTCAATGTGGGAAGGGAAGGTCTTCTGTTATTATGCTGTGGGTCTGCAATGTTTAAAAAAGAAAAAGTAACAGCAAAATGTGGGGGCAGAGCTTTGAGATGTGCGTGAATGGAAGCAGAGCGCTGTGCAGCACTGGGCCTTTTGTAAACGCACTCTGCTGAGTTTCTGTCCTGTGTCAAATGCAGAGTGTTAAGAGCCAGGACCGCAAATCGGAGAGCAGGGAGAGGCAAGGCATCGTGCCCTTCGACAAGATCAAGGCTCAGAGGAAGATGAGGGAGGCCGAGCAGCGCCGGTAAGAGCAGCAGTTTTCAGCTTGGCTGAAATCCTTTTTCTTCCTAGGAGCGGTGCAGTCTTCTTTTAATGAAAATGACCAAGGGGGAAAATATGTGTTTGATACTTTATTTGAGTAGAAGCAATGAGCTTTGAGGCATTTGGATTCAACTTCTGTCCGTATCGGATTATTTCCCCCCGCGGGTGGTGCGCTGGGAGCAGTGAAGTCGCAGTACATACATTGCTGTGATATAACTGAGGAGCTCAACAAATCTGCAGTCACTGTGGTTTTATGTTTTTTATATATATTTTTTTTCCTTTTTAACTTCCTTTGTTGAAATACAAACCTGTAACCTTTCATCCTCCTAAAACAGCACCCGTGAGCGTCGGGAGAGGCAGCAGCACCTGCAGACCATCCGAGAGCGCGAGGAAAGGGAGAGGCTGGAGATCGCTCGGGAGAGACTGGAAATTGAAAGGCAGCGGCTGGAGCGAGAGCGGATGGAGAGAGAGAGACTGGAGAGAGAGAGGATGCACATAGAGCACGAAAGGAGGAGGGAACAGGACCGCATCCAGCGGGAAAGGGAGGAGCTGCGGCGGCAGCACGAGCAGCTGCGCTACGAGCAGGAACGCCGCTCTGCCATGAGAAGGCCGTATGATATTGATGGCAGGTAAAGGCACTGAGGGACAGGAGGAGGGCGCCGGGCTGCCAGGCTGTGGCTCCAGCCTGCCCTCAGAGAGCTGTGTGTGTGTGTCTGCTCGGAGCTGCGCTCGCTGCTTGGCCTGAGCTGACGGCATGTGAAACCTCAGCCGTGCTCCTGTGTCTGAGTTCTGTTCCTGCTTCTGAGCTTTGTTACGCGCGTTTTTGATTTGCCCAGCGTGAGGGGAGGGGACAAATATCAAAAGTCACCAACTGGGTTAAAACAAGCATATTCTCTCTGTCAGGAGGGACGATCCGTACTGGCCTGAAGCGAAGCGGATGGCGATGAACGATCGCTACCATTCTGACTTCGGCCGCCAGGACCGCTTCCACGACTTCGACCACAGGGATCGCGGCCGGTACCAGGACCACTCACTGGACAGGTGGGTGTCAGCTGTGCTGTGCTGTCTGAAATCAGAGGCATGCAGTATCACATTTTGCTGCGTTTTCTTTACTGGGTGTTTCTTCTGCGCTTCCTTCTTTAAGCGTGATTTAGTAGCTGTGAAGATTCTCTCATGAAACCAAAGAGAAATGTTCTGTGCCACGAGTGAAGCATTTGTTGAGCACCTGCTCAGTGTGCTGGTGCTGCTGTTTGGCAATTTGAAAGCTTCTGGGGAAAAAAACAGCTTTTGAAATAGTATTGTAGCACCTTAATGGAGGATGTGGTTTCATGCTTCTGGGCTAGCTAGGTTTTCCAGGAATCTCAAGTGTTGTGGCTTCCTGTGTTCCTACCCCATTTGTAGGCAATGCTGGCAGCACATGGAAACAGGATTTTCTATCTGTGATGTGTAGATACTGTTAAAACTGCAGTGTTTTCCAACCACAGTTTGATTTTAATTGTGTGTCTGTAGGAGAGATGGATCGAGGACAATGATGGGAGATCGCGACGGACAAGTGAGTTGCTTTTTATAGACCTGTAGAACTGTCTCAACTCTTACAACCTGGTTTGCTGTAGTTTCAGATTAGGATGATAGTGCTAGAAGTATCTGTCAGTGACAGGATTGCCTTGTTTTTGACTTGCTATAGAACTCAGGTACACAGCAAACCAAACAAGCGCATCAGAGAGGTGGGTGATGAGAGGTCGTTCAGAGAGGGCACAAATACCACAAATACCCCAAAATGAGCTCTGTAAGGTGGCAGAGCTCAGTGGGTTGGTGTGTTCCTGAGAGGCAGGCAGTGAGAGGTGGCTCTTACTGATGGCTGAGCTGTGGGATTGTGAGGGTCCCGGGCAGGATTGGGCAGAGAGGAATATGGTGAAGTTACCAGGAGGGAATACGGGCTCACAGATGTGCTTGGCCTTGCAGCATTACCCAGACGAGCGCCACGGGGGACCTGAGCGCCATTCCCGGGACTCCAGGGAGAGCTGGGGCAGCTACGGCTCTGACAGGAGGATGAGTGAGAGCAGAGGGATCCCGCCGCCCTCACGGTCAGTGCTCTGAGCTGCGGCACTTCTTGTGCAGCTGCTGAATGTTGTAGATGCGCTTCTTGCCGCGGTTCTTTTCCACAGCCTCCCTCCTCGCTCTCTGCCAGGCGCTCTGCACAAGAGCAGCTCTTCCAGCTCGCTCCTTGCAGCAGCGCCTGCTGTCCCGCCGGGTTCTTGCTGTTGTGCAGAAGTAACTCGGGCTCTTCCTGCAGAGATGGCCGTGACTGGGGGGAGCACGGGAGGAAATTTGAAGGGCACCAAGAGCGTTCGTGGCAGAGCAGCGTGGATGGAGGGATGATGGGACGGGATCACGAGAGATGGCAAGGTAACGCTCCTGTGGGGCCTGCTGGGACACAAAGCAAAACGAGCCCCGTGGGTATGAAGGAATCATTTCCACTCTTTTGTAGGTGGAGGTAGAGGGAGACCTGGCCACGTGATGCACCGTGGAGGCATGTCAGGGTAAGGAGCTTAAAAAGAGCAAAGCGTTTCTTCGTCTTCCGTTTCCTTTCCTTTCTGGGTGAGTCCCTTGCATTTAAATGAGCCAGAGAAGCATTTGTAGGGGATTGATCAGTTCTGCAGTTTGTTAGTGAAACGTCAAGGGATGACAGAATATTCCTGTGGTTCATAACGTAGCACATCCTTTATTTCAACCCGACTACTGGAGTCACAAGAAAACAAACCCAAACCCATCTGCCTCACTTTGCAGGCGAGGAGGGTTCATGCAAGGCGGGAACCAAAGTCAGATGATGCACGGAGGAGGGATGCAAGGAGAGGGATTTGCTGGCCAGGAAAGAGCAAGCAGACCCAACGACCCCCGGTTCAACCGTCGCTACTGAATGTTTTAATTTTTAATGCTACATGGCAACTGAAATTGATTTGTCATCCGGGGTTACCGTTCCTTGGAGCTCATGGGTCACTGTAAGTGTAATTTTTTTTAAGCTGCTGCCATATTACGTCACTCAATACAATGTGAACTCATTCGTTTTGTAACGTGTTGTTCATATCTCATTTAAAAATGTTTGTTAATGAAGCATTCCATTTTCCACAAATAAAAAACAGTTTACAGTTGATGGCTTCACTCGTCCCTGGGACACCGATGTGTTTGGCCACAGCTGAAGCACAGAATGTTCTTCCCCAGCTGCAATACCCCACTGCCTTTGCACTTTCACTAGCAGCGTGCTCCCAGCAGCACACTGCCATGCCACGTTACTTTCAGTCTTAATTAAACACTGCAATCTAATTTTTTTCATGCTGGTGACGATGCTAGGTAAAGTTTGGACAAAGCGAGGGCGAGGGGTGAAGGATCTTTTTCTCTTCGTTTCACGGTGGGAGCTACGCCTGCTTGGCCTCTGCTACATCAAGGCAGTCTAAAGCTGCTCCAATTCCAAGACCTACATTTCCCCAGCAATCCTTGATGGAGATGAGCAATGGCTCTTAGCTGTGCTTGGGTACCTTTGGCTGTTCTTAAAAATGCAGTCACCACAGGTGCAGACAGAGGTTCTCCCTCAGCACAGAACTGTTGCTCTGCATGCGAGCCACCTACCGCTAAGGAGACACGAAGCAGCGGGTGCAGTTTGCGTGCCAAAAGCAACCCCAGCCAAACAGGAGCTTCCAAAGTCCTTTATTGTAGCCCTCGCTTGGCTGAGCTGCCCTCCAGCAGGACCAGCACAGGACGGACAGAAGCGCAGAGCTGCGCCCAGAGGACGGGTTCACTTCACCAGGTCCTTCATGTACTTCCAGCCCTCTGCTGTGTACTCGCAGGCCCTGCTGGGAGCCACAGACAGGGCAGACATCACCGTGTGCACGCCTGCGAGGAAAGAGGAGAGTTATCCCCAGAAAAGCATCCCTCGAGGCCAATCTATGGCTACTCAGCACCGTGGATCTCTTCAAAGACAGAGGAAAATGCAGATTACTGTCATGGAGCTCGAGTACAGCCTCATGCTGTCCCAGCAGCACCAGTCGAAGTTCAGATGACCACAACAAACTGCAGCTGGGAGAATTCAATTTCATTTCTGGTTTTGCTGCAGACCCCAGGTGATGTCACAGGAAGGGGGGCTGTTTCCCCACAGCTCTGTGAAGGTTATTTGCTGTTATTTATAAGAACTATAAATCCTCATCATATTTATCACATGTTTGGCCTCCAAACATCCCTAACTGTCCAGCAATCATGGGAAAGCTCCTGTGAAAAACCAGAGGGTGAGTTCAGGCACACTCATGTGAGAACAGTTCTGTGGCCACTCTACTTGGATTTCACACCTGAAAATGAAGTGAACTGCCCACAGTCACTGCCTGCTCGCGGTGGAACCTGGAGGAACTCTGCTCCCAGATGCAGAGCTCCTCCCACATCATCACTCTTACAGGGCAGTGCTGAAACGCGACCGAGTTGAGATGATCTTTTGAGTTCCTTTTCAACCCAGGCCGTTCTATGATTCTTTGACAAGCTGATCACTTGTCAAACTCATCAAACCCTCCCCACAACTACATGAAAAGCGATTTTACCTTTATTCCAGGAATCAGAGGGGGAAAAGTCCAAACTTGGAGCGGGCGGGAGCTGGAAAGAGAAAGAAATCAGCAGTGGGGTGTCAGTGGGACAGGGCTGCCTCACCTGGAGGGGCTCTGGGACTCACATCTCAAAGCATTTTGTGCTCCCTTCCCTAAGCCTCAAAGGGCATCAGCCATTGCCCTGAGATCTTGGCTGAGATCTTGGCTAAGGGCTTGGCTCTTTTCTGCAGCACACAGCAGAAGGGAAGTGCTTCACACTGAGGCACTGCTGGCAGCTGCGGGTTTGTTAGAATAGACTCCAATATGGAAAAGACTCTTTGGCTCCTGAAGATTTTAAACACTTCAAACCAGGAGAATCTTGGCCTGAACTTTTAAGCCCAAAGAACAGCCTAGAACTATTACTACACACTGAAATCTCCCCTCAGAGCAAACCAGCAGTCCCCTCCTTGACCTGCCTGGGCTCATTGCCTCTTTCCTTCCAAGTAAGACCTGGGAATTCTCCCCACTACGCTCTGAAAGTCATCCTCCTTCTGTTTCAACCCTCCTCAAAGAACCCTCAATGCAAAATTCAGGTTCAACAGCAAAACTGCCAACGTCATTGGAACCTGAACCATCATCCCAGCGTGTCCTGCTCCTCAGTATCTGCTGTGCTCATCTGTGCACCCTCACCTCCCATCCTCACCTCCCGTCCTCACCTCCCATCCTCACCTCCCATCCTCACCTCCCAGCCCATGTAACTCGTCCACTCTCTGACTGCAGGAGGCAGAGCTGCCTGAGCCTTTTTTAGGGCTTCAGCACCTTCTGCACCGCTGCCCAGCAGCCCCTGATCGTAGGCCACGTACACAGCAGCTCCGGCCAGGCTTCCTTTGATGACAAACCTGAAGGAACCAAAAGCAGCCACAGTTCAGTTTGCATCAGGAGTGACACCGCATCTCTCTCGGGCAGATAAGAGGCAGAGGGGTCACCGTCCCTGGAGGCGTTTGAGAGCAGATGGCTGCTGCTCTGCCGTCCCTTCCCCTACACCAAACATCCCTCACCTGTCAGAAATCTGCTCGCACTTTGTCTGCCTCTCTGAAAACGGAGAAGCACCGCAACTCTGAGCAGAGAAAGGCCGACGCAGAAAAGCAACGGAAGGACTCAGCAGTGGGGACACAGCACAGAACGGAGCCCTCAGACCCCGCGGCCCTCAGTGCCGCACCTCCGAGCTCCTCCAGGGACGGCGACCCCGCCAACGCCTCACCGCCGCAATGCCATCGTTCTCACCGCCCGGATGAATGGGACCCACAGCAGCAGCGACCGAAGCCCGGCCAACACCGGGCTGCCCCAGCAGCGCAGCTTTACGGCAACTGAGCTCACCCGCCCGGAGCCCCGCGCCCCGCTCGCCCCCAGCTCCCACTCGCAGTCGCCCGGAGGGGCCGCACGCTGACGGCACCGCGCCGGGCCGGCTCTCCCGCCTCGCTCCGCGCCCCGGTCCGAGCGGGGCGAAAGGCAGAACCGCGGAGCGGGCAGCGCCGGGCCCAACCGCAGCTCGGCGGCCCCGGAGGGAGGCGACGCCCGCGGCACTGACCTGAGCACGGGCAGCAGGCGGGCGGCCATGGCGGCACCAAGGGCAGCGCGAGGGCCCGCGCCGCGAGGGCCGCCGGGAGCGCCTCACGTGACCGGAAGTGAGGGGTACGCTTCCGTCTCGGCCGTCGCCATGGTGGCGAGGTCACGTGGGCGGGAAGCTGCGCCCGCCGCCATTTGGGGGTGAGGGTCGGGGCTGGGGGGCGGCCTGGCGCTCGGCGCGGTGGGCGCGGGGCTGATCTCGGTTCTCTCCGCTGTTTCATCGCGCTGCGGTGCCTGCGTCAACCCGGAGCGCCGTTCGCTGTGGTGAACACCTCAGCTGTGAGGTTGATGCTGAGTTAACGAGGCCTTCGTTCGGCGCGGGTCGGGCCGCTTTTCCGCAGGCCGGGCAGGGGGAGCAGCGCAGCCCCGCCCCGTGCTGTTATTTCCTCCCTTCGGATGCCGTTATCGCGGCTCCCGGCCTTCGGGGCGGTGCCGGTGTTGCTGGCTGTGACGCCCGCAAAGCGGGGATTTCCCAAACCCTAAGGCAGCGGGATCGGGTGGCGCCAATGTGCGCCGTGCCGTCTGGAGGCGGTGCCCGGCTCCCCGCAGAGTACCGGGCAGAGGTTGGCACAGCCTCAGTGGTTGAACCTCCGCTGTGGAATCCCTGCGCTCCCAGCCCGCTTCCTCGCGTCCCTTCACAGTTTTCCCACTGCTGACGTCCACATTTGCTTCTGGTTCTTCTCTGCCTCACCTCCACAGCCTGAGCAGCTTTTTGTTCCCCTTCTGCACGGCGTGGAGGAAGATGAAGCCCTTTGGAAAAGTGCTCTGTGCTGCAGGGAGCCTGGCTGTGCTGCTTGCCTTCTTCTGGAGGGACACCTTCCAGCCAGGTATGCTGACCAGGGCTCAGCCCAAACTGGGATGTATGCAGTGTAACAGAACTGCTTGAATTGCCAAACTGTGATTGCAGTCTCTTCCCACTCGTGGCTGTACTGGAGCTGATAGCCTCTGCCACTGCCTTTCCCTTTTCATTGCAAGCTTTGGGCTCAGGAACTGTTCCTGTGTGGCTGAGCACAGGAGGGGTGACTGAACTCAAACTGATCCAAGGGAACACAGATGTAGAATCCTAGAATGGCCTGGGTTGCAAAGGCCCACAAAGCTCATCAGTTCCAACCCCTGCTGTGTGCAGGTCGCCAACCAGCAGCCCAGGCTGCCCAGAGCCACATCCAGCCTGGCCTTGAATGCCTGCAGGGCTGGGGCATCCACAGCCTCCTTGGGCAACCTGTGCCAGTGCCTCACCACCCTCTGGGTGAAAAACTTCTTCCTCATATCCAACCTAAACCTCCCCTGCCTCAGTTTAAAACCATTCCCCTTGTCCCATCACCATCCACCCTCACAAACAGCCATTCCCCTCCCGTTTATAAGCTCCTTTCAAGTACTGGAAGGCCACCATGAGGTCTCCATGGAGCCTTCTCTTTTCCAAGCTAAACAAGCTCAGTTCCCTCAACCTTTCCTCACAGTGCTCCAGCCCTCTGCTCATCTCAGTGCCCTCCTCTGTCCTGTTCCGAGAGCTCTGCATCTTTCTTGTGCTGGGGCCCCCAGGCCTGGACACAGTACTCACAAGAGCTGAGTAGAGGGGGATTGCTGCAGGCCCAGGGCTCTGTTTGTGCTGCACAGCTTCTGTAGAACAAAAAGCTGCTTTGTGGAAGTGATCTGTGCTGTGCTGCGTCTTCTCCCACAAACAGAGCAGCTTTCTGGTGCCCGCGTCCTGCTGACCGGAGCCAGCGCAGGGATTGGGGAGCAGATGGCCTATCACTACGCCACGTTTGGGGCTGAAATTGTTCTGACTGCCAGGAGGGAAGCTGTGCTGCAGGAGGTGAGGGCTGCGTTGGGTGAGAGAGGACGGCGGGGCTTTGGGCTTTGGACGCACGTTGTGTTTTCTCCTTCAGAAGCAGCATTGCACAAAACCAGCCGAGGGGCTGCTTTGTGGTTTCTGTAGAACAACAGAAGACAGCAGCAGCGATGTGTGCTGAGCCCCACGTGCTGGCACTGCTCTGTGCCACCCTTCTCTGCAGTGACCCCGGGTGGGTTACTGTGCTGTCACACAGCAGTGCTGCTGCAGTGCGTGTTTCTCCTACCAGAGGGCACTGCCACGGCACAGCGGGGCTCTGTGCTCCAGAGGGAGCTCCGCCAAAGGGGAGAATGGAGCTGCAGTTGTGTGAGGTGCTTTTCTGAGTCAGTCCTGTCTGTGGCTGCTACAGACACCCCAACCTTTCTGTGCAATGTCTGACCGTCTTGAAGATGAGACTTCTTTATGGGGCGGTGTGTAGAGGATTATAGGGTGGTTTGGGTCGGAAGGAATCTCTGAGATCACCCAGCTCCACCTGCCCAGAGGCAGGGACGCCTCCCAGCAGTGCTGGGTGCCCACAGCCCCGTGCAGCCTGCATCCACATCGAGCAGATCTCTCAGACCTCGGGATGAGTGCCCTGCCAGGAGAGTTGTGAGCTGTGAAATGAGGCAGAAGGAGAGCTGGAGCAGTGAGCACAGTTCCCGTGGGGACGTCGCCTCACCAGAGAGCCAGCTGTGTGCCAGGCAACCTTCACACAGCCCTCAGTGCAAAACAGCTCTGAGAGCTGAGCGCTGCAGGAGGCCAAAACTTTGGATCAACCAAAGATGGTTGGAACTCAGGGACCTGTGAGATCTCACTCTGTGAGTCTGTAACCCGAGTTCTAGAAGCATTCTTCTGAAGGTGGCCTTTTTTCGGATGGGTCTCGATCCCTTTCCAAGCTAGATTGAATCTCTGTCTTGTTAAGAGCCCTCCGTTCAGCTGCTGTGGGCAGGAGTGTTGATGTAAAATGAACTGAATAGGGGCAGATTTACATCGAGGGGCATCTTTGTCCAGAGTTGCTTCTTAGTGACGGCAGTGAGCGGGAAGAAGCTCCTTGCACTGCCCTTATTGCCATTCCTTCCCTGCACCCCACGCTGTTGAATCACTGGGAGAGCATTGTTTTCCCAGGTGGTGGAGAAATGCCTGAGTCTCGGAGCAAAGAAAGCCTTCTATATCCCAGCTGATATGTCTTCCCCTTCCGAGCCTGATAGGGTGCTTCGGTTCGCCGTCCAAAAGCTGGGTAAGCAGAACAAGAACGGCGCCATCCCCAAATGTCTTCTGCTGGGGGAGGAAAGGGTGTGAGTGTGTGAGGGGCTGCTGCACTGCATCCTCGGGATGGCCGCCCCACTGACTGCTGTCTCTGCCCACAGGAGGGCTGGATTACCTGGTGCTGAACCACATTGGCATTTCCCCTTTCCAGATGTGGGGTGGAGATGTGGAGCACAGCCGCTGGCTCATGGAGGTGAGGATTCCCAGCAGTTCTCATGGAGTGCAGCGATTCTGCTTCCCCTGGGACAACCTGGAGGGGCTCAGAGGCAAATTCAGATCTATGGCAGCAGCTGAGAGCAACTGCTGTGTGTGTTTCAAGTCCAGTGCTTTGGAGACTTCCTGACTCTCCTCAGTGTTCTGCTCACCTGTGTTGCTGTGTGCAGAGGAATGAATGCCCAGGAGGAGCTGACTTCTCTCCTTCCTTCCATCCTCTTTATCTGTCCTCAGTCTAGAGCTGCTGGGCTTGGCCTGCTGTGGGTCCTTGCCCAACGTGTGCTGTGTTTAGGAAGGCCAGCAGGCGAGGAGCAAACATTCCCACCCAGCTACAGCAGGTTCTGTTGCAGAGCACGCTGTGGTGGCTGGCAGTGGTGTTTGCTGTTTGAGCCTCTGCTCGGACACAGGACTTCCCCATGGTGGGGCATTTTGGGACTGTAGAGATGAAGAGCTGTGCTGCTTTGCTCCTAGCTGGGCCACTGGGTGACTGATGGTGGGAAGTGTGTGTTTGCTGCAGGGCAGGGAGCCTGGGGCAGCAGTAAGGAAGTCCCTGCAATTGGCAGAGCAGGGATGCTTCCTTGGTGGTCTGAGCTCAGCCGGGAGCAAAGTGAGGCACTGCTTTGGTCCTTGTGGCTGAGCAGGGGATGCAGAGTGAGACCAGCACACAGAAAATTAGGGACAGCAGCCTCGCTTGCCAGGAAATGTTACTGTGGGGCCTTCAGGTACATTTCCTGACTTCTCCATTGCTGTGCCCGGGATCTGAAGGGCTCATGGTGCAACATTTGTCCCCACCCATCCTAGATGAGATGATTCTTTCCTCCTTGCGTTTCCAATTTCACATCCAAGCCAGGCTCCCTGTCGCTTCTGTTCTCTCGGCTTGTGGGTTCCTTTCCAAGCACTCTTTTTCTCCTTGCATGCCCTCCTCCTTCCAGGTGAATTTCTTTAGTTACGTGGCGCTCGCAACAGCAGCTCTGCCCACCCTGGAGAAGAATCACGGCTCGGTGGTGGTGGTTTCTTCCCTCACAGGTCAGTGTGTGTGGCTGAGCTGCAGCTCCTGCGCACCACGCCGCTTTCAGCACACACTCGAGCTGTAGCAAGCAGGACGGAGGCAGGCTGGGCTTCTTCCCCACTGGACGTTTCTTCATTCTCTCTTTTTCCCTCCAGGGAAGATTCCCACTCCTTTCACCACTTCGTACTCAGCCACAAAGTTTGCACTGGACGGATTCTTCAGCTCCCTGCGCCACGAGCTGATGATGCAGGAGAGGAACGTCTCCATCACGCTGTGCATCCTGGGCCTCATCGACACGGCCACGGCGCTGGAAAAGACCCGGTGTGTGTTTGTGTGTTTGTGTGTGTGCGCGTGTGTCTGAGCGCGGCCTGACGCTCTGCTGGTCTCACGCAGGGGCAAAGTCTTCATCACTGCTTCTCCTGCGCCAGAAGCGGCGCTCGCCATCATTCGCGGCGCTGCCGCCCGCCTGCCGGAGCTCTTCTACCCGTGGTGGCTGCGGCACGTGCACGGCCTCTGGGTGCTGCTCCCCAACCCCCGCGTGCTGCAGAGCTTCTACAACCACAGCGCTTCGAACCACGGCAGCCCCTGACGGCGCGGGGATCCGCGTGCAGTGATCGCCCCCCCATCTTCCTCCAGACCCCGCAGCCGCCCCCCTCGCTCCGCCCCACAGGCTCGGTTGTGTCTCGCGTTCTCCGCCCGGGGCCGGGCCTGAAAGGAGCGAAGCCGGTTGCCCTCAGCCGCTGCCTCGGGGCGCCCCGTGCGGACCGGCGGCACCGCGCCTTGCGGGCACGGCGACGGCGGCGGAAGCGCCCGAGCCGGAAGCTGCCGCTGCGGGATTAAGCCCCGCCCCCCGGGCGACAGCGGATTAGCTGGCACTCGAGGTCTATGCAAATCTCGCTGTGCTTCGCGCTTTCCTATTGGTTCCTGGTCCACGTTAGCACCGCCCTAGTGACGCGAGGCCCGCCCCGCGCCCTTGATTGGTTAGCAGTAGTATGCGGCGCGTAGCTCCTCCTCTCGTGGGCGGAGCCACTCTGCTGCCGGCTGCCCGTTGGCTGAGCAGCTCTGGGGGGCGGGGCTTCGTGGGGCCGTGGCGCGCCGATGCGCTCCGGGTGCGCTGTGCGTAAGCGGCGGATCCGCTCCGGTTCCGCTCCGATTCTGCTCCGGTTCCCCGAAGCGGTGCTGGCGCTGCAGCCGTCGAACGGCCCCGGGCCGCCCCAACCCCAGGCGGCGCACGCAGGGGGCAGCCGGGTTACTTAGGAAGTAAAACTTTTATTAAATAAACTTAAGATTCTTTGTAGATCAGAGCGAGGGCTGACAGTGATGGAGCGGCGTCGGGATCGGCGATGGAAGAAATGCGAACGGTCAAACGGCGGCGGGCCGAACCTCGCCGGGTCCCGCTGTGGC